TATATATATATAGACAAATATTCTATTATATATTGAATGTTTAATACTGTTATGTAGCTTCTTCAGGGCAGTAAAAAAAATTTTTTTTTAAACATTCTAAACAACTTCTGCAAGGAGTATGTTGACTTACCATAACTGTAACCATTACATTTATACATAAAATTAGTAAATTCAATGTGCTTGTACAACTATCTTAGTTTTGAAAATAAAAATGAAATGAAAAAAGTTTTAAATCAGATATAAAAACGATACTTACTTGAGGTACAAAATGTTTTGCAAATAATTGGTGGGGAGTTGCATCTAATGGAGCAATGTTGACACTCCTCAAGAAGTCCATCGTAATAATAATTCTTTGCACATTTTCCCTCAGCATAAATAATAATGTAAAGCAGCAATATAAAGAGAAGCATCTTCCACTGAGGTGCTAGGAGTCACTGAACATACACAGCAGCCAACATTTTATTATGCCCCAGTATGTAAATATGTCTTAAGAAGGGGATGTCCCTGAGCCATCAACACTTTTGTCTTTCACACTGGCATCAATTTAAATTTTAGTCACATTTTCTCATGACAAAAAAAAAATTTGTTTATCTATTTATGTAACTACATTGTAAAAAAAAAAAAAAAAAATGTTTTTACAGACAAAAATAGCCGCTTCCAGAATAATTCTGTCCATATTTACAAAGCAACCCATACATTTTACAGTTTAAAACTATCATTTATTATTTTTTTTAAATTACAATTTAAGCCTGTAAAGTCCATGTGCTACTAAAATCTGTTTTGTACCTTTAACATATACTGACAACCACCATAATAACACAGGTAGTAAAGAGAAAGCCACATGAAGAATCAAAGTTCATCACAAGTAGCCTTTCCACAAGCTGAGGTAAATAAATACTATGTAGAAGGTGTATAAATACAAAACACCATATAACACACACCGACACTAAAATAATGCAATAAACATTAATTAAATAACATTAATTGTAACATAAAACCCTAATATACATGAATGATAACAAAAACCTAAACGAAATACCATCAAATGTGAAGTGTAACCATGGGGAAAACATGAACTATCACTGTTTTTCACTGTAAATTATAAGATAACTTGTTCTTTTTTTACTTCTGAAAATGTTACATTTAACAGTTTTACTGTAAACTAACATCATATTATAATTTGTAGGCCTACTCATATGTAGGTATCTTCCTGTTAACCAAAGTCTTTTACAGTTAATTTTATCATAATTTTTTACAGTGTGTCAATAGTTTCAACTTTCAATAGTGACCATTCAAATAAAATAAAAACGGACTAATAAATATGTTCTTAAATTATTTTAATTGCAAAAGTCTGTATACATAACACAAATAATATATTCCTGATGCTGCTATATAAACATATAAAAGCAAGCACTGCTTATTAGATATAGTGGGACAACATAATAAAAATAGCACAAAAACACAACATGAAAATAATAAAAATCAAGTATATTTGACTAGCATATTATATTAAATAACACAAACGTATTTTAGTTTAATTGGATTAAAAGTGGATTAAACAATATATATTTTTTTAAATTATATATGAACAATTATATATAAATGTAGCCGAAAACACTGATGATCCTAAAGATCTCTAAAGCACTTCTAAAGGCAAGTCATTTCTAGGCAGCATCGATGCAGATATGAAGAGGAGGGTCTCCCCGCAGAGCACTATGGGAATAGAGATGCAAATCAGAGCCTGACATTGAATGTCGAACAAAGTTTGCGGTGTGTGGTACAAAAGATAAGTCTTATTTGATTCTCTCTCCTGGCCAATAGGGGCCCACCTAAAGACCAGAATGCTATAAATGATTAACAAGCCCACACATTGTATGATCATTAAAATAAAAAGATCATGCTTATAGATAATGACATGGAAGATGACTGGTTTCAATGTATTATCGAACTATGTATTCATTTAAGACAGTTTTACCTGTATGTTATATCACTAAAGGATCTCGGTTCAGATGGTTGGTCGTCCCAGGTGGTTGTGTATTCAGATAGGAGCTCATGGCAATAGTAACAAGTTGATCTGCTCTGGCCGTGCGGTTTGCCTGAGAGCCTTCAGCCTGAGTGTTGATTCTTCCACTTCTCCTGAAGGAATTCCTCAGTCCGTTGGAGAGTCTGCTGGAGACTTTACGCATAACGCCTGAAATTCCTTTAGTGCGTTTGTATTGAGCAATGTCGTCCTCCAGCTCTTCAGGAGGCACTTCAATATTACCAGTGTACCAAAACACCCACCAGATGAGACTCAGGAAAATAATCACAGCTCCAGCAAAAATTAAAAAGTCATGGAAAAAGATGTCCCAAAACACACCAACCAGGAGGACAAAAAGTCCAAAAATGTCGTGAAAAACAGCAAACCAAAATGCACATTTACAACGACCAACTCCTGGATGCTTTTTCTCCATATCCAATTTTTTATCGAATTGTATCACTAGACTGCAGCTTGTCCGTCCAGAAGACTACAGTGCTAAAAGTACACATTGCGAGAAACATGACGTACACCTGTACAGAATGATGTTCAAAGTACACTGAAGTGAATAAACCTTGATGTTGAGCAGTAAAGTAATGCTTTTATCAGAAAACTTTATCAGGATCCCAATCCTGAAGATAAATGACTATCAAAACACACTACACATGAGTCAAAATGACAACAATCATACATCAACAAGTAAAAATAAAAATGTTAACACTAGTAATATTTACATAAAGGTATCCCATGTGACATTGTTGGCTACTGTTTTATCTAATTCTAGATTATCCGCCTTTTGTGTTTTACATTTTCTTTTATGATCAATGTCCAGACCACACCGAACACAGCAAACATCAGCCCAAGTGAAAGACACAATGGGCCCATTTCATCATCCACAGCCATTGTGTCTGTAGAATTACTAGTAAATAATCCATTAGAATTGAGGATTATCACAAAACCAGCAGCTAATGCTAGCCCACCAGCGATCAAGATGAAGATGGGTTTGTGGTAGTAAGTCCAACAACTAGGGTCTCTTGGTACGGGGTCCCGAACTGGAGTTGAAACCGTCTGCTGAGTCACATCTTCACTGAAATCACACTGATCCATAGTATGCATCCTGACGAATCTAAACTTGCACACAAAAAAA